GATCGCGAACAAAAGCCAGTATCCAGGCAATGCGACTCCTGGGTCGCCCGGAATAGCCACCGTATAGCTCGTACCGCTACCCGACATCGTCAATGCGATCCTTCTTTGATCTGTGTTAACGGTGTGAGTGGCGGTGCCAAACCTCACCAGCGAGAACTTGGTAACAGCCGCAGACGTGGTGATGCCCAAGTTCGCGCCGAGTCTGGCAGTAGAGGCTACAGTGCTTATGACAGGACGTGCGCGTCTTGTACCGTCAGCGTTCAGAAGGTAGGGCGGTACAAAGATCTCGGCGTCGAAGTGATTGTTGGCACCGCAAGAACCGCACAAGCCGCCACCGCCGACGAAGACGGTCGCATCCGGCATGAGGATTGCTACGGAGTGATATGTCCTGGGAATTTGCATGGGGTTTAGCTGTGTCCATCTTCCAGTAGTGGGGTCCCACAGCTCCGGAGTCAGCTGCGCCGTGTCGTCGTTGAACGGGTGCAGACGCGATTGTCCGCCAGCAACGAAAACTGTTCCGTCGGGAAGCGCGACACCATTCGCGAAACCGCGCGGATAGGTCATAGATTGGGTTTTGGCGACAGTTGGGTTTGTCTTTGGTGCACCTATCGTGACGACATAGGCACTTGTGCGTCCGTCACTAAAAGACAACGAAGTCAGCATTGCTGCGTGAGTGATGCGAAAGGCGGTTTTTACCTGTTTTCGTAGTTTGCAGCACCTCCTGCAGTGAGTATCTTTCCGGCTGTGGCGTCGAACATTACTGCATTGCCACACATGGCATCCCCGTCATCCAAGCGGTTACCAGCACCCGTGGTACTTCCAGATCCGACAGTATCGTACCAGTTCATGGCGATCGAAGGGCCGGCTTGAAATACCGTCTGGTTCTTCCATCTATAGTTGGTCAGCAATAAGGTCAATGATTATCAGGCGCTGGACTTACCCAAAGAGCCAAGCATGGTTATCCGAACGATATACGCCCGCAGTATCAGCTGTAAGCATAGGGCTGACGAGCGCATTCTGTACCAGAGCCCAAGTATTTGCAGTAGCGCTATAGATCTCTCCGTTCTTGCCACCCCTGTTGCCGCTCCATGATCCGCCGATATTGAAGATGCGCCCGTCGGAGCAAGTAGCGGTGGATTGGTACCCCCGAGCGATCCGCATGTCGCTTCCTGGGGTCCAAGCGTCACTAGAAGGGTCATAGATGCTGGTCTTTGCAGCGTCGCTGCCCCCCGAAACGATAACACGGCCGTTGAAGTCCAGGGAGATACCTGGGCAGAACATGTCGTGCTGTGTATTGGAGACCTGAAGCTGACTCGACTCGCCCGTAGCAGGATCATAAATGCCTGTTTGGGTGAAGCCTCTGGATCCGCCAAAGTTGTCCTTCGCGAAGGCCGACCACATCAGTACCTTTCCGTTCGGGAGTAATGAGACAGCTGCCGGTACAAGTGGGAAATCCACAGTCTTCTCCCACAAGCCTTTGCCTGCCGCTGGCGGAGCGTATGCTGTATCCTGGAAGATGTTGATCTCAGCGACGGTGGTCCATTGGTTGACGGCGCTTTGAGCTTCTGAGGTAGCTGTGATCCTAACATATCGTGCCGGTTTCGCGACGAAGGAAGTCTTCTTGGTCGTCGCATCGTTGTTGTATGTGCCGACAGCGACGACCTTCCAGCTTGAGTTGTCGGTACTAATCTCGATCCTGTGTCCTCCAATCCTGCCATTGGCGTTGTCGCTTGGGCGTGGCTGGAGACTGACGGCGTTGATGTTATAGGATGCTTTCATGTCCACGACGATCCAGTTTGGTAATGTGTCGGCCGGCGCGGGATCATATTTTGAGTGCCAGAACGATGTCGCATTTCCATCAAGCGCTTTAGAAGGCTCATTACCAGCTTGGAAACTGTCCGACGTTGCGGTCCATCCTGAACGGCTGATAGCGACAGAGGCAGAGTCGACTGAACCCGCTAGGATGAGTATGGCGATATATATCGCCGATAGACTGGACCTGAAGCTCATGTCGAAGATTGAGAAGTGGAGGCAGCGGCTTTGTTGCTGATATGAGTCTCAATGCAAGGAAAGCTTCGAACTTATAGTTCTTTGATGAGGTTCTGGCGGCATGTCAGCTTACAAGACGCTGACCTCTGTTCCCATCGCCTCTCGACCATGATCATTCATCTCACACTCGCAAACGCCATGATGCCCGTCTAGCTTAGCTTACAATAGCACTGTCCAAGGTTGATGCGGAAGTCCAGCTCCGCATACGCCCAAGAATAGACATGTGGAAGATATCGCCAATTTACGAGGCTGACGGACTTGACGCATCGCGCCCACAGAATGATCTCCGCGTAGATAGTACCATTCATTGACATGCATCTCAAAAGTCTACCTCAGTGATGGGCTCGGCTTTGCCCGCTCAAGACCGGTAGTCCGTGTTGGCTGCATGATATATTAGGCTGCATACTAGATGCGTGCTCAGAAGCCTGGAAAGGAACGCCACAGGATGTCACCGGGTACTCGGACATCGTATTGATCATGTGGATGATGATATCGCGAATTGTTACTGCCATGGGAATAAGCAGGCGCAATGCCCAATATTTGCTGCATGCAGGACCGACTTGGCTAAGCGTTGATGGTGGGGCGGGATTCGGCTCGAATCGCTGACCGGGAACATGCATGAACGCCTCCAATGAACATCTGGACCACTGCGCCCGTGCGCTAGTCGGGCATGGCGTACCCTCGCCTCGCCGGCTCAAATACTGAGGCTGTAGTCGTCCAGTCCGTCTGGTCCATTGAGAATCCATCGAGGAGGCTTTGCATGTAGTCTCTCTGCGTCCATTTTTGTGGACCGATAAGGGCATGCAAGCAGGCTGCCAGACCAAGTGACTGTTGATCGAGAAGGCTTCGCTTGTAGTCTCTATTCGTCCGACTCTTCGTCCGATTCTTCGTCGTAGTCTCCACTATCAGTCGTTTCCAGTTCGCTGTCGGTCGATTCTACCTGAGGTCCAGAATGCGCTAATAACATCGCTGACATATCGCTGTCGGTCTCCTCCTCATTTATGCCATCTTGCTCGTCGCGCAAGTCTTTCAAGTTGTACCAATTTCCTTGGGTCTGACAGAAGACATACGTCTCGATTAGGAGATCAAACGACAGCACATTCCAGATCGGCTCTACGTCGTTCGTAAAGGACGATGCAGATGAGCCAACTTCGTCGCGACACGTCAATGTGATCTTCCACAAAGCCGAGGGCAGCTTGGCTTGAAAGCCTAAAGCCGGATCGTCTTGATATCCTGGGGGCTGGAAGCGCTCTACCTGTGCCCATTCGTCTATGTCTGATTGAGGGTACAGGATTTCCAACGTCTCGAGCTTTGGTGGCAAATCTCTCGGCTGGCAGCAGTTTTCCAGGAAACGATCCGCCTCCGCATTGAAAATGAACAACTGTGGAATGGTGAGATGCTTGAGGTTGGTGAAGTGTTTAAACGATCTCTTTTGGTTCGTCAACAATTCCAGCAGCCATTCTAAATCCGAGTCGTCATCGGTAATCTCATGCGTGATGGCAAGCCTTTCTAGACTGTCTCGCATGCTATCAAGTTGATCTATGAGATAGCCAGCATCAAGCTGGGTATCTCGATCGTCAGTGAGGTGATAGCTGTCGTTGATACTGCGCGGGCGAATGTTAGCAGAGGCAACGTATACGATGCACTAACAAACTCACAGCTGCATTTTGAGACTTCGTAGGCGGCTGCAGTCGAGAGCTTCGAAAAGGTCACTGAGTTGGATTTCCGCCTTCTCAACGAGGGGACGCTCTGCAAATTGTATCGAGACACTCAAGGCTAGATCATCAAGGTTCTCGGCGCCCTGTAGACACCCACGACCGTTGAGACGCAGGATGGTACCAATGGAAATCGTTTTTAGATCGAGGCTTTTAAGATTCTCGTAGTGAATGCCAGACTTCAGCAAGTGCGTGTCGCTCGTAGTCAAATGTCGAAGCGTGCCCCAACCGTGAATAATGCTAGCAGGGGCGAACATTCCCCCGAAAAGCCCGGAGATGCACTCGCCTGAAGGTGGACCGCGAGCATGATCTTTCACCCAGACATCAAGGTGTGTGAGGTTGGGAAGCAGTACGAGCAGCAGTCCAGCAAATCCCGACTCTATCGAGTTTCGAATGGTCCGATGCCAAGGATGCGACGCAGTATACCCCATCTGTTCCAGCTTTGCCAAGCTTCGCACGCGTAAAGACACGAGGTCGAAGTCCTGCACCTCGCAAAGCTTGGCGATATTTTTGCGAATTGTCCCAACGCGTAGGGTTCTGACTTTTGTCGCAAGGTCTGCGCGGTCCAGGAGAGTACGCAGCAGCTGCAGAAGGGAGCTCACCTTGGGGTGAATCCCACATGACATGGACAGGTTTACTGTGGTGTAAAGGGCATCTTGGGCGACAGAGCGAAATCTGCGGGACGTGAGACTTAGGTCCTTGAGGGACGTGGGTGCAGCCGAGTCGGGAAGATAAGAGGCGACGTGCAGCAGTAACTCTTCCGGCAGCTGGTAGATGGGCGGGTCATCGTAAGGCGTCATAGTGGACCTCATGCTTAGATTAGTGGGCGGTAGCATAGCAGGCAAAGTGATGTTGATGCTCTGCTGAGTGGCTTGCTCGGTTTTCGATTTCGCGGTGAAGCTCGCTCTCGGTTGACTGTAGCAAAGACCTTGACGAGATCAACCGTTCCGTATCATTCGCCACTCCACGTTGAATGCCCTGGATTCCTCAGGACGGTGCTGTCGGGTAAATACAATGATCAAAGCACTGTCGTAACTTGATGCTGAAGTGTGGCGCTGACGTGCCAGATGGGTGACCGCGATGAACAAGCCCTGGTGAAATTGCGATCGCGGGATGGTGCGACACGATGACGTAATCACTTAGAGATGGCGGGCACACGCACAAAGCTGCGGGACTACACGCTGAAGAAAGTTAACAACGCTTAATCTAGATTGAACACTACATACGACTCGAAACTCAGATTTTCTTCTGCGCCCTCTTTTCTCTCAACCACATCTTGAGCAGGAACAGCAAGCTCGTCACCACACCCATGCCGCTCAGTCCGACGCTAACGTACATGGCGCCGCGATAACCGTGCAGTTCATCCTCCGCCGTTCTTCCGCCATTGTTGACGTGCACCTCCACTGTTCCTGCGATGCCAACCCCGATACTGATACTGTAGTTCACGATCGTATTGACCAAACTCGCTGCCATGCCTTGGTGCTTTTTAGCGACAGCATTACTCATGATCAACGTGCCGGCAGGAAAGCTCATGTCCATGCCCCATGGGATGATGAGCGTGGTAACAAAGGTTTGCGCCCAGTAGATCTGGTTGACGGGGAGTGTAGCAACGAGAATGTTGCCCGTCAAAAAGGCTAGCATGCTGATAAGCATGACCCAACCTGGGCCGATGCGCGAGATGACACGGCCAGTGGTGACCGCAGCGATGAAGCCGGATATCACGACAGGGCAGAGATGAGCCATTGTGAGAAGCGGAGACTCGCCACGCAGCTGCTGGAGCATTTGGATGAAGTAATAAACCCAGATACCTACAGCTGTCGTTAGTCATGCGCTCTGACAAAGATATTTGGAAGCCAACTTACCGAAAGCAGCCCAGCCACATGCTATGCAAGTCAACACGAACGAGACATCCGTACTGAGCGCATCAAACGGAATGAGAGGCTTCTTGGCGACTTTGATCTCGATCCAAAAGAAGAGCGGAAAGAGAAGAAGGCCGACTATTAGCAAGACGTAGATGTAGGGGTGTCCCCATCCAAAACCAGGCGCTTGATTCCAGGCAAAGTTGAACAGGATCATGGCGGTAATGCCCACACTTGCGCCGAGTAGGTCAAGCTCACGAACTCGTTCCCTGTGCGAGAGATTGCGAACTTCCGGATCGAGCGGTACTGAGGGGAGGATGAAGATCGACAAGATTGCAAGGCAGAACAGCGCAATGCCGAACGTCCAGAATGCCCACGGCCACCACAAGAGCGCCCACAGACCAGCAAACGCGCCGCCAGCTATACCGCCACCTAAGGAACGTTAGGCAATATCCATAAGGCAATGGACAAATACATACCGGGTGCGCATGCTCCAAACAGCGAGAACACCATATCCTTCCTCTTCCCCTCGTTATACGTCGCGCCTAGTAGGCCAAGCGCATTGGGCAGTAATATTGCCGGTCCAATACCTCCCAGCACGCGCGAGAAGATGAAAAGCACCTGGCCACCATTACCTTCAATGTATACGCTGCATCCGGCTACTATCATCCAGACGCCAAACCAGATATAGCCGATGATCAACATGTTCTTGTATCCGAAGAGATCTCCGCAACGGCCAGATAGCAGGATGAAGGTACCGACTGTCAACGAATAACCCGCTATCAGCCACGACAGGACACCGGGGTCGGTGATACCAAGATCGGATCCGATGATATGCAAGATATTGAGAGTGCCGAGCAGACCTGCTTGTGTGACGAACTGAGCAGAGCAGAGCAAACCGACAAAGAAAGCTTCGCGGAGTGGAGACATGGTCTCTGCGATTGACTTCGTCTTTGCGAGTTCCAGGTCCTGCTGTTTGGAAGCATGCGCAGAATGCGTAGAGTTGCGGCGGTCCATGTCTTCGTGGGAGTCGCTGTCGTCAAAGTCTTGGTCGGAGGTAGACGAGAACTTCTCGCCTGTTGGCTCTAAAGAGCGTCTTGGTTCCTCCATTTCGAGATGGTTCGACGGCGTGACCGAGGAAAGCGCCTGCTGTAGTGTGTCTTCTCGAGACTACCGTGAAACACTCTTGTTATCGCGAAAGATCGTGACTGTTAACTTGTGCTGGATGAACTTCAAATTCTGCGGCTATGTCGTTTTGGCTGTACGTTCCGAGATGGTACCGCGATGACGACAGTGCCCGTCGATTCTCAACGACGCGTCTCGAGGCGAAAGCAGGTGATGTCTGTGTAAAAGTGACTATCGCGATCCAAAGAGCTTGTAGAAGTATGTGTGCAAAGGTGATCACAGCGCGATGCGCGTTCTAGTTTGGCGCCCATCGCTCCTGACATTCTTCTGAGCAATCTTCAACGTTCTTTACGTGAGCGCGGAATTGCGTCTGTCAGGCAAAGAAAAGCGGGTCGGCCGAGTTTCAACCGCGGTCAAAGTCAGGATCTGATAACGCGCAAAGACGTTTTTCTTCGGAAAAAAGCGGGTTCGGATGCGCAACCAAAGATCTAGATTCAGCAGCGGATTTATGGGTGCTTGTGATGCTAAGTAAGCCACATCATAAGCATGTGTAACAAGAGCGCGGAAAACGGCCGTTTGGAGCTTGTTGCGAGGACGGCTAAAACATTCATCCGCAGGCGCACAACCCTGGAAGCACAATCTCATCGACCAGCCCGAACCAGGACCAGGCCGCCGTCTGAGTCAAAGGCGCACTCTCTCCATTCTATTCAGATGCATCGGTTTTGCCGCACGATGTTCACGCAAGATCATGCGACTATCTACCGTCCCTTATCCTCATAAACCCTCACTCCAAGAACCTTCCAGACAGCCCAACTATGCCCCCCAACCCATATCGGCCCACCCCTCCAAAGCGGCAACACATCGTCTCTCCCCCGTCTCCTCTTAACAACAGGCTCCTCCCACTCCCCCTGCTGAAACCTCTCGACATCATCCCTCCTAACAGTATGCGTCCTTGCACTAGCCGCCATCGTCCAAAACCCCACCACATGCCCCTGATCGATCTTGTGCTTCAACCAGCCCTTGCCCTGGCTCTCCTCGACGCTATTGTTGAGAAGAGATAGCAGTTCGGTGCAGGTATAATCGGCTTTTCCCTTTGGTAGAGTGACGGAGCTCAATTGTGTGCGATGTGCTGACGCTGGGATCTTATCGACGATGATGGGGGACCAGAGGAAGGGGAAGGGCGCGTACATGAGCCGGAGGGATAGGCTCAGCAGGACTGCGACGGGGAAGTCTAGGCCGATTGATACGCCTGCGCGGAGGGCGGATCCGAAGGTAAGCCGGGGTGGAGATGTGGGTGTCGAGAAGAAGAGGAGATGTCTCTGGAACGCGGAGTACGTGGGACGAGACATGGTTACGATGTGCCGTCTTCTTGGAGGGCCCGCGACGCGTCGAGGTTGTTGAGAATGTGCATATCTGCGGGACAAAAGTATGGTTTCGCGTGTATAAGTCATGACGTCACGTGTAACCAGTGCACACCATGATAATGTGGAATGTGTCGGTATCTATGTATTGATTTCCTGGAGCACACATAAGTTCTACAGATACCATAATTATCGTATACGCATCATTGTGATGCTTGTATTGACGCGACTATCTTGCCATTGATTAAAGCATCACCAAACTTCCTACAACCGCAGCAATCATTGCACTGCCCAAAACGCTCGCGGAGAGACCACCCGACGCAGCCGCGGTGTAAGTCGGCATGGGCATGCCCGTACCAGAAGGTGTACTTCCATTGGTCGATGTGCCGTTACCAGCTAGATCTGGGAACAGATAGCTAGTGTTGGCATCGACAACGATCCAGTTTCGCACCAGGGCCGTTCCATTCATGACAGACTCCCACTGCTCCGCTGTGCACTGACCGGGGTCAAGAACGTAGCATTGCGTGCCTTCGTCGACAATGGGTTCGTTGGTGATGTTGTACACGTCACTTGGTCCTTCGCTGGCGTAGTCGGGGGTCTCGGTCGTAGAGATGTTGCCGGTGCTGATGTCGCGGTTGAAGAGAGCGCGTGTAAAGATCTTGTATGCGGTTTCCGGTTGGTAGGCTGGTACTTCATGACCAGCTTCGTACACTCGCGTAAAGGATAGATTGCCGTATTGACGCACTTGGCCACCGATGTAGGTGTCGTTCACGACGACAGGCGCGTATCCGGCATCCGCGAATGAAGTGGCGTTGTCGTAGGGGATAGCAAGCGAGAGCAGTTCACCACCGTACCCTAAACGTTGCAAAGTGTCAGTTCATGTCTCAAACGCAGCCTTCTTGGGGCAATACTGACAATTGCAGGCATAGTCTCGGTCACCATACACCAGTGTGACCTTGATACCCTCTTCGAGAAGATACGCTAGATCCTCCTTCCAACCTGGACGTGGATAATCGCCAATACCTCGGAATGCCCGCGACACGGCCGAGTTTGATTGAGTCCAGTTGAGAGGTACACCAAGTCCCTGCTGTACATGTGGCTGATTCAGCCAGCCTTGGTACCATGGTGGTGGGAATGCAGCTGCGCCGGGGGCGGAGATATCGTAGTAGTTGAGGTCGGTATCAAAGTAAGGATCACGGATCGTTTCGGAACAGAATGTCTCTGCAGCCTCGCACACCTCGTTGACGGTCTCGTTGTAGCCTTGGTTTGTAGGGTCGTATACAAGACTTATGTTACGACATTCTTCAATCTGATCGAGACAACCTCCTTCCTTGTAAAGGTTGTCGAGCACTTCCTCATAGCGCGATTCGTTCACAGCCTTGATACCGTACGTGTTGTTGTACTGCATCCTTGGGTAAGCGGGCCATTGGACATAACGATCAATGCAGCCATTGATGATCAGTAGCGTGTCGAGGTGCAGTAGATGGGTCTGTCCAGCTTCGCTCCACGTCCCGTTTTCGATTTTCTCGTTCTGCTCCTGGAAGTATGCTGCGAACGCTGGTCCATAACGACCTCCGTAAGACTCAGTCGCAATAGAGATTCTGTCATCATTTGGCTTGTGCTCAGGAAATTCCTGGAACCAGACTTGGGCGAAGTTCCAGAGCGCTCGTGCAGAGTTCTCAGTACCACGTGTGGTGAGGTTGGAGTTTTCGCTAGGGTAGGTGCCGACATAGAAGCTGTTGTTTTGAGGAGGAACAGGGCCGTTGCCGAAGTCTACAACCTCAAGATCGCCGGTGTCTAGATTGGTGGTGATGTTGACCAGGCTGTCATAGCTCATGCCAACCTGAACGGGCTGGTCGAGGTAAAGCATGTTGACTGTCTCCGTTAGCCGTGATTCTGAGGAGTCGAGATGCTGCGCCATGGACTTGCTCACCCTCGTTGTTCCATGACCACTCGTTCAGGTAGGTACTGTTGGAGTCGGCGCCGATGAAACATGGTCCGTTCTCACGCAGAAGTCCAACGAAGGAACTGGAGCCAGGTCCACCTGATGGTGTCAGTCAACGTCGCAATGAGTACTTTCCAAGCTGTTTACCATTCATCCAGATGGAGAGAGGGGCATTGGCAGGATCTTTCCTCGATTCAAAGAACCAAAAGTAGGTGTTGATCTCGTAGGTTTGGTTCTCGACACCGAGATCGGCAAGTGCTCCAGCTGGGAGGTGAACATAGCCGGAGAAGCTTCGGACGCCTTCTGTGGTTTCACAGAGGTCGGTCTGGGGTCATTAGTAGCTGGATCAGGCACTGTGTGGAGGATGGCCTACCTCCTTGTATGAGATCGTGACACCCTCATCAAGTTGCGATTCAAGAACGGTCACGCCCTCTGGTGTCGGAGGAAACTGAGCGTTGACAACCCCACTCAGAAGCCCAGCTGCTCCAAGAAGCGACAGCCTGAATGCAACCATGATCGCTGCGGTAGGAGGAGATCGAGCTCTTCAATCTGCTGCGGGCAGAGGCTACGGAAGTACCACAAGTGCCAACTTTATACAGAGTCCGTGACATTGGGGTACCTTGACTCGTCTGCCTGGCAACCATGTACAAGCCTGCAAGTGCCTGCATGTCAGACATTGAGCTTCCTGGTTGAGCTATAGCGCATGTATCGCCGCAGCGGCACCGACCTGAGGCACCCAGTTCATGACGTCGAATGGCATTCTAGCGACGTGATACGGGCGGGGACAATGCAGGGCCAAGGCTGCCAAGGAGGCTTTGCGTCACTTGTTCATTCGGTAATGTCTTAGTTGGTCGGCTACCGGTTGCGGAGGAGAGTTGGATCTTTGCTGCGAAGCGTTTGTGGAAGGTGATGAGGGTTGCCGGCGATAAGAAGCCAACGTTCCGGAAATGGCGGGGAGCTTTCCTCGGCGGTGTTCCGCGCCTCCAGCTCCAGCTGGTCGAGCTCTTCGCACGCTGCGAAGACGATGATAGCCAAGCCCTCGTCGACGTACAAGCAACTCAAGCAAGAAACGGCGGACGACTGCCAATGCCACTAACTATACTGGAAGTCGGCGTCTGATTGGAGTCATTCCCCGGATGATTCACGTCGTTCAGGTCGAAGTTGAGAGACGGGAGACGTGGGATTTCTTTTCCATTTGATGATCCAAAATACTGATATACAGGGGATACGGTTGTAGCTCGGTAGTCGGTATGCTGCAAATATACGAACAATAATCAATAACAATCCTGAAGACGGGCCTCATGCGAGTAACCTCTGCGCCACGCAACGCCAATCGCAATTGTTTTCCAAAAGCAGCCTCTCTGGTATGCGCACAAATTCCAGATCGCAACGATACGCCCTATCTCCTCCAAACTCGGTACCAACAGAAGTGAAGATTGGGTATCTGCCAAAACAACGGTGCCAACTCAAACCGGCGCACCCCAAGCTGCTCGCAGGCGACGCGCGAGTTGGATGTCCTTTTGCTGTATGGTAACGCGCTTGGCGTGGATGGCGCAGAGGTTGGCGTCGTGGAAGAGGTTGACGAGGAAGGCTTCGGTGGCTTCTTGGAGGGCGACGATGGCTTGACTCTGCCATCTGTTGGGCCCGTCTTCGGTTGTGACTGTTTGCGCAATCTCGCGGACCTGGAGGCATGTTAGCTGACTGTCGCAAGGGTGTCTGGATGAAGGGTCCTCACGAGGCGCTGGAATGGGAGCTTCAGGAGCAGCAGGTCGGTTGACTTCTGGTAGCGCTTGATCTCACGGAGAGCGACGGTGCCGGGCTTGTAACGCTTCTTTGCGCGATCGGGAGCGGGTCCTGCTTGTCCAACTGCGCAATGGTCAGCTGGGGTGCGCAGACTTGACTATTCGGCGCACTACGTACGTCTCTTGCCCGACTCCTTCCTTCCTCCGACACTCGCTCGTCCACCTCGCGACGGTCGCGCCTTGTTCTTTCTGGTGGGAGATTTGGGAGACATGTTGGTTTTGGTGTGTAAGGATATCGCGCGATGTGTCGGGGTCCAGGTGGATCAATTGGAGCGTGGGATTGGCGACGAGGGAGGGTTCACGGCGCGTGCACGGCGCGAAAAGTCGCGAAGCTCAAGCGCGTCAAGATCAACAAGACGAACGGTCGGCACGTCGTCGTCAGGTATATCGATGAGATGGCGTACGAGGGTCGCGGTAGTGAACGGGGCACGGGCGCATCGTCCTTCGCGATTCTGACCGTCTGCCGACGCGACTGGGACGAGGGGCTGGTGCTGTGGCTGGTTCGCATTCACCCAGGGCAGGGCAGGAGCTTGGACCCCGACGCCCGGCGGGCGGAAGGTGCGATCGCGTGCTGTTAGTCCTAGCGCCTTGGCGGCCCGTCGGACAAGTTACGTAGCCACATGGGCCCCATCGTTCACACGCTCGGAAAGCGGCTGCGTTTGCTGAGCGACACTTGGCCTTTCGCTGCTTACTTAGGTATCTGAGTGCAGGCGCTGCAACTTGCCTCTTTCCCTCATTCTTCATCCTGTGTTATCCCTAGAGCGCCCAACCCAGCATGGCGAATGTTCTGCAAGGCGGGGACGGCATGATGGGAGGGGCCGGAGGCTTTCCGCTCGAGCAGTGGTTCTACGAAATGCCCGTGTGCACGCGCTGGTGGATGACGGCGGCGCTGAGTGCCAGTGTGCTGGTGCAGTGCCATATCATCTCGCCCTTCCAGCTCTTCTACAGCGTGCGCACCGTCTTCTTCAAGAGCCAGGTACCTACCACCACTACCACTGCGACTGTTCCAGCCCGTACTGACCTGCATAGTACTGGCGACTGCTCACCACCTTCTTCTACTTCGGCCCACTCAGCCTCGACCTCCTCTACCACATCTTCTTCCTCCAGCGATACGCGCGCCTGCTCGAGGAATCGTCCGGTCGCTCCACGGCACACTTCGCATGGCTCCTCACATTCGCTTCGACGCTGCTCCTCTGCATCGCGCCCATGTTCTCCATGGCCTTTCTCGGCTCGGCTCTGTC